CCTGTCTTGATGCTTAGTCTGGCAACCCCTTTAATTGTGAATGAAGAGGACTCCTTCTACCCCAACTTAAGCAACGACACTGCCAGATGCAAGGCCCAGTCTTCTTGCTGTGTCCGCGTTTATCCTTGCTGCTGAAAAGTCTGGAAGAAGGTGTTGATCGATAGCAGCTATGGGGGCTAACGCTTGCTGTTGCCTTGACGGCCAAGCAAGATTTAGAACCCCCCTGTAGCCCCAATGATCGCATCCGTCCCCCTTCCATAGCCTAGCTACGCCCTCCATCCACCTGCCACTCCGCTGAAGGAAGCTACGGACTCATCTATACACATTGCTCCAAAGCCTGAAAGACTGCAATAAGCCAACCTAAGGACCCAGAATGGATGTCTTCTCACCCCCTCTAAAGCCTAGCCTAGCCTTCAAAAGCCCTATGAGACCCATAAGCTCTTCTCAAAACCTCAAACTGCACACACCTCTGAATAGAGGAGTAGGAGACCGCCCCAAAAGAAACATGAAAGGTGCGGGTCTTCTCGGAAGCAGACCAAATCTTCCATTTCGGGCCAGCTGACTCCTCAGAACGAGCGTTGAGGTCTAGAGCTTCGGTATGAAGTGTGCCGGATTCGAGGAGAGGTTTTGGGGCTGAGGGCTTAGACGTTTAGCACCCCCGAGCCTACTTTGGTACCCAGCTACAAGAAGCAATCCTAATGCATCCCAAAATGGTTTTCTTAGGGTCCAGGAGACTTGAACAATCCCTAACCAAGCTTTGAGTTTCTATTTGGCTTTAGTTGTTGCTGCGCCTGCCCGGGACGTCAGACCGCAGCATACTTTAATAATGTTTGTGAAAGTTGTTGGTTTTAGGTTTGAGGGCTTACCAGATTCTGCGAGAGATTTGGTTTTCAGGGCGTAGCCCTCAGCAGATTCTATGAGGATTGTGGGGGTTTGTCGACACTTCGATTTATGGTGTGTTTTTTGGGGTGGTTGCTTTGCCCCCAAGAGAGGTGTTGTTCGGGCTGTTCAGCGCCGTCGGGCTAAGGTTGAAGTGCGCGGGCTATGTGTTCGGATCCGATATTAATATTCAGTCAGCCCGTTGCGGCCGTGGCGCATAGCAGAGTAAATGCTGCGGTAGTAGTGGTAGTGGTAGTGGTAGTGGTAGTGGTGGTAGTGGTAGTGGTAGTGGTAGTAGTAGTAGTAGTAGTAGTAGTAGTAGTAGTAGTAGTAGTAGTAGTAGTAGTAGTAGTAGTAGTAGTAGTAGTAAGTAGTAGTAGTACTAGTAGTACTAGTACTGGTAGTAGTAGTAGTAGTAATAATAATAGTAGTAGTAGTAGTAGTAGTAGTGGCTGGAAGCATCTGTCTGCATCATAATCGCCGCAGTCGCCAGAGCGACGGTAGATCGTCGACGATCATGAAGTTTGCAATCAGACGGACGATGATGCTGACGATAGCAGTGAGCATGGTGATTCTTCGCACTTCGTGATGCCGCACCCTGAACAGAAACCCAAGCCCTTGTGCTCTAACAAGTCTCTTCACAGAGTCCCTTTAAAAGTCCGGATCTAGCCCTGATAAAAGCAAAACCAGCAAAGTCACTACACCTTAAACTGTCCGCGCGAGGTTCTTGTGAAGGAGCGTGGTGTCGGGGCCGTGGGCTTAGAGGGAGGGGACAAGAGTGCAACATCGGGGGTTGGCTGGTCAGGTCATGGAATTCGTATTCTGGAGTTTTCCTGCCTAAAGCAATGCTTCAGGGCTTTAGGTTTATGTGTTAGTTATACAGTTGGAGGCTTTACAGGGTCTAAGTTTCTTGAGCCGTAAACCCCAGGCTTACCCAGGCAGGCGATTGCGTGTTGCGAACCACTCATTCAGATCCTGCCCCTGAAGGACCAAATGACCCTTAAAAGTATAGGGCCCTGTACCCATATACTATGGTTCTCCGGTTCTAGGATGCCCAGTAGTACCCTTATTCCCTTTCTGTAGTCCTAGGTTCCTTATAAAGTTACCCAATACCAAAAAGAGAGGCATTTTTATTCTTAGGTTACTGGGTATCCTAGTTCAGATCCTGTCAGGAGAGGAGAGACGCCGGTCGCACGACTTGCGTTTCCGAAGCCACAGCCCGAAGGGTCCTATGTACTGTTATGGGGAATACGTCCCCAAATCATAATAGAAGTTCCTAATATTGAAACCCTACATTCTACTATATCGGTACTTTGGACCCTTTGGGCAGGTATGATGACCACCGAATCCAAATGCAGAACATGCAAGTATCAGCGCAGTGGTGTAGTTGTGTTTTGTGACACTGGCGCGTGCCGCTTGTTTTCACTGATTCGGTTTCATCATCACGGACTCCTCCTCCTTCCCTCGTCCTCGTCCTGCTCTTCCCCGGCCTCCTCTCTAGTTTTTGTTGCCATCGTAAGCCTCATCGTGGATCAGTGTACGAACCATGTCTTTGGTCACCTTCACGGCTGCCCCAGAGGTATTTCATCTAGTTTCACAGAATATTTCTGATATCTTCGGAGGAGGCTATCACCACTTCTAGTTGTTGCTCGCAAGAAAAGATATAGCTTGAGATCGTGTTGCAGTTGTCGCATGCAGCCCATGAACATCAACCCAAGCCTTCAATCAGTTCCAGTTACCAGCCTGAAACACCCACGTTCGGAACCCAGAGACTCCAAAACCCCTTAATTAAGGAATATACCTTAAATTGTAATAGGAGCCCTAATATGATTTAAGGTATATTCCTTAATTAAAGGGTTTCGGAGGCTCTGGGAAGGCTTTACCCCTCATACTCCGACTGCCTAAGCCTTTAGCCCTCACAGTATGAAACAAGGGCTTTGTTTACATGTGGATCCATACTCCAACTTCTGCGGCCCAGTCAAGCCAGCCGGCTTCTCCGACAAGCACAGCGCAGGGCTCTTGGAGCGAGGGTTTTGGTTACTTGTCGAGGGTGAGTTCAGTTCACCAAGGGTGTCTGTGTTGATGAAGTGCTTCTTGGGTTGTACACGAGTTTAGTCATATGCCTATGCAGCTGGTTCACAAGGACTCAAGCAGGTAGCATGCTTTGTATTTTGGTTCTGTCATTGGGTTTAGTTTGGCTTCTGATGTTCGAGCTTATGTTTCGATTCCAGGGATTTTCTTTAGGCTCAGTGCCTGAACAATCGAGGCGTGAGGGGTTTGGGTTGTCATCCTCCTTGTCGGAATTTAGGGTGGTCAAGAGTTTCGTGCTGGGATCCATCCAGAAGTTGCACATTGAACTTTTAACCCAAACATTATGATGATGTGTCCGTCCCCGGAGTGTCCTCTGCTAGAGCCTAAAACAGGATGCCCAGTAGTACCCTTATTCCCTTTTTGCAGTCCTAGGTCCCTTATAAAGTTACCCAATACCAAAAAGAGAGGCCTTTTTATTCTTAGGTTACTGGGTATCCTAGTTATATAAACCTTAAAACCCCATTTCACAACAAGTAAGTTTCAACAACTAAAACACAGCTTGAACCTCAATGCCCACCACCAAAGCTTCTCGAGGCAGCCGGAATTCGGTGTCATCGAAAATCTCCGGCTGACGAACCCAAAGGCTGTACCCTGCAAGGCCAGAAGGGGTGGAGGGTTTGATAACTCAAGGTTCATGTCAGACAATGTCTCCGAAGCCCCAGTCTAGATATACTGCTACACTACTTGCACTGTTTTAGCCACTCCTACCACCGCCACTGCGTGGCACCGCCACTGCTGCTCATTTTGTGCATGTGTTTGCTGTTTCGCCATGTTGTTGTATACTGTTGTAGTTGCTGTATTGTTGATTGTGTACTGGGCGTTGTTAATTTGATTTGCATTTCAGCTTGAGGTTCTCCAGGGCTTCTCAGCTTCAGGGCGACAGTTTCAGGGGCAGTGGCTCCGAGCTGCCGCTGTCGAAGATCCATTTGTAGGGTGTAGGGGTTGTTGAATGGTGGGCCGAGAATTCGAATATTCCCGCCAGGTACTGTTATGGTCACGGTGCATATTGGGTGGAATAATATGGTGGAATCGTGAGCACTACAATTTACTGTCTAGATCACGAGACGCCCAAACCCTGAACCTGATACCCGAAGGCTTATACTTGAAGTTCACCAAATCCGAACCGACAGTTTTATAATATAGGGGCCTTAATAATGACCTATCTACACTATTTTGGGTTCTTGTTAGAACTATAGTATAATATAAACCGAAGCCCTATTCTAACTATTCAGGTCCCTATATCAATGTTTCCCGTTGTTGACACCTTTTTATCACCGCTAGAACCACTACTGCTGTCACGGTTGTCGCCGTTTTTGCCGTTGAACAGTGTCATGCTTGCTGTTTTCCTGTTCTTGTGCGCATCATCAGAAAGGGATTTTGGAAGCCCTGGGTGCATATGCCCTTGCATGTCGCAGCCTTTCCTGGTTCAAACCAAGCGCCGATTTGCATCCTCTTGCGCACTTTTTGCGCCCTGGCTGCAACAGGTGGATTGACATTATCTGCGAGTGCATAAGCTGTGGGTTCTTGTGCTTTGTGAACCAGGTGTGTTATAGTTAGGACGGTTAGGGTCCGTAAAACAAGAAGATAAGATTAACAATGCAGGGTCTGGGCATTCCACTTTCACGATTCAGAACCCTCAGCATGCTACAGGAGGGGCGCTAGGATAGGGAGACCTTACACATGCAGAGATATTTCCCGAAGTTCCCCCCCACTTCTACAACACTTCTACAAACCCTAAACCCTAAACCCCAAAACCCTAAACCCTAAACCCTAAACCCTAAACCCTAACCCTTACATACCGGGGACACCTTTGCAAACACATACCTCCCCCAAATCCCAAGAAGTCGAGGTTTCCCCAAACCCCAAACCCAAAGCCCTAAACCCCTAAAGCCCCTAAACCCTAAGCCGAAACCACAAAAAAGCCCAGGTTTTCCAAGCTAAGCCCCTAAAGCCCTAAACCCTAAGCCGAAATCCCAAGAAAGCCTATGCCCCAAGCCGACATCCCAACAAAAAGTCCAAGGTTTTCCAAGATGGGCAACTGCAGTTCCACGGGTGTCTCCTCCGATGCTTCCGAGCTTCAGGCGCCCTGGTCCGGCGGTATCGTAGGGTTTGTCGATTTAGGGTTTAGGGTGTTTAGGGGTTTAGCAGTTTGGGGTTTAGGGGTTTGGGGTTTAGTTGCTTTTAAAAGGTGCCGGTTCAGGTTGTTGCATGGCTGTTTGGTTAAGGTGTTCATGGGTGGTGATGTCAAGCTTCTTTGGTGACACCTTTTTTTTCGGGATTCGCCCCAAAGGCCTGGATCTAAACCCGAAACCCCTATATACACCCACAACCCTTAAGACCCTACACCCCTAACCCCCCCACACCCCTAGCTCCTAAACCTTAAACCCTATAGACCCTAAAACCCCTAAACCCCAAACCCAAAGCCCCTAGGCCCCCTAAACCCGGGCCCAAACCTTATTATAGTACCCTTATAGACCACTTTAAAGGAACCTATTAGGGCTTGTTTACTTGAAGGCTCATGGGACTTAGTAAGTAAGGTTATAAGTAGGTTATAATCAGGTGAGTCCCACTTAGGGGACTTATCACCCCAGTTATAACCTACTTACTAACTCCCCTGATCCTCTAAGTAACCTCAACTACCCCTTATAGAACCCTTATATTATAGATCCCTAAACCCTAAACCCTTTAAGGAACCCTAAGTCCCCTGATCCTTTAAGTAGGGCCTTGCCTAACTTTATGAGAAGCCTAAACCCTAAACCCCTAAACCCTAAAGCCCCCTAAACCCTAAACCCCTAAACCAGAAACCCTAAAGCCCCCTAAACCCTGAACCCTAAACCCCTAAACCCTGAACCCTAAACCCGAAACCCTAAACCCCCCTAAACCCGAAACCTATGCCCTGAACCCTAAACCCGAAACCCTAAAGCCCCCTAAACCCTAAACTCTAAACCCTAAAACCCAAAGCCCCTTAAACCCTAAACCCTAAAACCCAAAGCCCCGGGCCCAAACCCTCTGAAAAAGAAGCCGCAAAGCACTGAGAGGTGGCGGCTTCAGCGAGGCATCCGAGCCTTGCCGGACTCCCCATGCGCCCCTTGGCTTTCTTTACTTAGAGGATCATAGGGATCTATAATATAAGGGTTCTATAAGGGGTAGTTTAGGTTACTTAGAGGATCAGGGGACTTAGTAAGTAGGTTATAACTGGGGTTATAAGTCCCCTAAGTGGGACTCTCCTGATTATAACCTACTTATAACTTGGCTTTCTTTAGTCAAAGGGGAAAAGGAGGGACCCTTAATGGGGACCCCTACCCACAATGGGCTATACAATGGGTATATAATAGTTGTATTAAGGGCATATACCTAGGGGTCCTTATTAAGGGTCCCTCCTTTTACCCTTGGCTTTCCTTAGGGACGTTTAGGGTTTCTCTAGGGTTTATAGGGCTTATAGGGTTTCTCTAGGGTTTTTTGTAGGGTTTCTCTAGGGTTTCTAGGGTTTCTAGTGCTTGTAGGGCTTGTAGGGTTTATAGGGTTTATAGGGCTCATAGGGTTTAGGAGTCAGCATTTAGGGTTTCGGAGTTTAGGGGTTCAGGGTTTAGAGTTTAGGGTCCTTTATGACTTTCGAACATGAGAATGTAGGGTTTAGAGTTTTCTTTAGAACTTATGCACTTGAAAATTCAGGAGTGTTTTGGGTTAGGCGTTTAGATTTTAGGGTTGCGATGGTGTAGGTTTGGGGGTGTAACGGTCTAGGGTTCCTTACGGGCTTTGTATAAGGGACTAGAACGGAAATAGTACATATTGCACTAGTCAGCCTTTGGGGTGTAAGGGTGTAGGGCTTGAAGGTTTCGGGGGTTCGAATGTATAGGGTCTCGGATTTAGGGTGTACGGCCTAACGTTCAGTGTTCAAGGTTTGGGGTTAGGAGTAGGGGCGGCTTATGTTTCTGCGTAATGATCTCATTACAAGGATTCATTAACGGTTCTAGAGGAGTAGGAGGGCATGCACGCTTTGGCTTTGAGTTTTGGGGGTTTATGTTGTTTAGGGAAGCCATAGGGTTAAGTTCAGGGTTTAGGATTTGGATGTAGTTGTTTGTTGTTCCAACAACACTAATTACACCCTATACCCCACCTCGACCCCCCAACTATCCTCGAATATACCGCCCAAATCCCCATTACAAAGCGCCATATTATAAGGGCTCTATTAAAGGGCCCTTGGGGGGTGTGTCCTTGCAAACCGGCCCTAAACCCTAAACGCTAAACCTTACACTATTGTTCTGCTTGGGGTCCGAATTCGGGACTGTAGTCTTAGGAGCTTCCTGCTGCACGGTCGGTTCGAGTTCAAGGCCGAATTTCTTCACTGTTTTGTAGCATTAAGGTTTAGGGGTTTGGGGATTAGAGGTTAGGGTTTATAAGGTTTAGGGTTTAGGGGTTAGCGTTTATATGGTTTTGGATTAGGTTTAGTTTAGGTTGTAGGGTGCGATACCTCCACAGGTCTTGGGTTCTGTCATATGTAGCATGTCAGGAAGCGTTTGCATATTCTCCACAACACTGAATCCTGAAACCCCCCAAATCCTCAAGCTCTACGGAGCTAAACTCCCAAACCCTGAATACTAAAGGCTGCCAAGCCTAAAACGCTCCAGCCCTGAACCCTTAACGCCAAGCTCCAGTTTGAAAGCGTTAACATCCGGAGCCGCTAGCAGATTTGTTGATGGTTGGTGGAGTGGAATCTCTACTCTTCAATTGCTTGTTTTAGTGGATTGAGGGCTTCTAGGGTGTAGGGTTAGAAGGCTTGATGGTTCAGTGTTTCGGAGTTGATGAATTATTGCTTGGTTCCGGTGTGCACTTAGGATGTCAGTTTGCAATCATGTTGTTGGTAGATTGCCCTTGTTCTACTCCGTTTGAAGTCTACTCGATTCTGTTGTTGTCGTTAGGACCATGATTGATCAGCCTATATGACTTACGATAGGGGTCAGTCCGCCAAACCTCCCAGCCCTAAACCCCACACGAGTTCGGTGGGTTTGTACTGGGGTACAGGTGAGTGCATATGGAAGTCTATTTGGTTGGCGATTATATATGTCGGATGTGTTAAACGAGTAGCTAGGGGCCACATCCCTTCGCACTTCTTAGGACCCTAGTTATACCCCAAGCCCTAGCAGAAACAGATACAGCTCGGAGGAACGAACATGAAGTTCGGCTGGCGACCAGACATGCCAGACCACCGCGACCTCCGTGTGACCTTCGACAAGGTCGATGCACCAAGCCACATCACCAAGAAGTCTGAAGGAGTCTCAGCTCAAGCGATGGGTTCATGGGTCGGGGCCTCCGAAGAACTGGGTGGGCTTGTCATGCGCAGCGTCGTATATGTCTTTCTTGACAGTGTGGCGGCACCCTGCTTCGGATTATAGTTCCTGGAAAAGCACCCCTAAATGAAGTCACCCTACCTCACTGATAACTCGACTGACCCAGCCCCTCTGGTTGTACCGAAACAAAGCCTCAATCCGCAAATCTGAGGCCCTAAACCCAAAATCCCCTAAGCGATAAACTTTAAACACTGTCGACCAGACTCCTCACCCACTTTCTCAGACACAATGAACTTCTGCGCAGGAGCGAGTGTCCGGGCATTAACACGGACTACTAAATACTAGGATGCCCAGTAGTAGCCTTATTCCCTTTTTGTAGTCCTAGGTTCCCTATAAAGTTACCCGATACCAAAATGGGAGCCCTTTTTACTCCTTAGGTTACTGGGCATCCTAGAATATTAAGGTGGCTAGATGGGCCTGGACAAGAGCAAGGCAAGGGTCGCTGTATTAATGTTATATTTCCCCAACAACCCGAGTGTTCTGAGCATCATCCTTCTCTTGTTCAGCACCAGCGCATTGCACTTAAAGTATAAAAGCCCCCAAACCCTATTCTAAGTATTAAGAGCCCGAAATTAGGTGGAGTTTAATGCTGCACGGATTATGAGGAGACAAGGAGATCATTGACCTGCGGCCAATGAACGGTGGCTTCCCCATCTTCGATCAGGCCGCAATGTAGAGTAGGGGCTTTGAAAAGTTTAATAGGGCTATGGGTAGGGGCTGTAATGGTTTAGGGGTTTGGGTAGGGTTAGAATTTAACTGGAATGTAAGTTTGGGGTATATTGTGGGATGCTGCTATCGTGAGCAGCAATCAGGGTCATCTCGGCAGCTGCACAGCGAACGCTTTGGCAGCAGCCTTCCACTTCGCCCTCCACAAGATGACGGTGGAGAACCACAAGGACTTCGCCGACTTCACCCCAAGCCGGCTGTTCATCTACTACAACGAGCGCCTTGTGGAGGGCAGCGTGAACCAGGATGCTGGGGCGATGATCCGGGACGGCATCAAGACGATGTCCAAGGTAGGTGTGTGCCCGGAGAGCATCTGGAAGTATGACGACCAGCATGACTTCTTCAAGCAGCAGCCCAGTGACAAGGCCTACGAGCTGGCACAGAAATGCAGGGTCATGGGCTACGCCCGCGTCGCCCAGGACCTGAGCCAGTTCAAGGCATGCCTGTAGCTGGGCTGTAAGTGTTGTTTACAGCTCGTTCGTGTTTTGTTAATGTCGTTTTATTAGACCTGGTATCATCAAACAGTTGTTCCATGAGCAGCTCGGAGCCAAGGAAGAATGGCTACCCCTTCGTCTTCGGCTTTGCCGTCTTGTCTAGCTTCCAGACAGCAGAGGTTGCCAGGACCGGCAAGATGGTGATGCCGCAGCCGACCGACCAACAGCTGGGCGGCCATGCCGTCACTGCCGTGGGCTACGACGACTTCCAGCAGTGCTTCATCGTCCGCAACTCTTGGGGCGAAGGGCTACTCGTCCCAAACTGCTGCTGAAGTGAGTTGTTTTCGCGTTGGTCTGCTAAATGATGAAGAATATGTGAGACCGGGGCGTCAACCGGGCATACTCCATATAGGGACCAATAGCCAAAAGCCATATGCTACTGGTCTCCGAACTCTCGTTTGTCCATTCATCTGTTGGTCAGGTGGGGCGACAAGGGCTACTTCTACATGCCCTACGAGTACATGTGCCATCCCGCCCTTGCCTCCGACTTCTGGGCCATCAACTGGGTTGAGGGCTTCAAGAACACTAGCAGCCTCTCCGAGGGCAAGTTGACCATCGGAGGGGCCCCCCGGCATCCGAATGTTGTGTCCCTCAACATGCGCACGAACATGAAGTTCGGCTGGAGACCGGACATGCCGGACCACCGCGACCAAACCGTGACCTTCAACAAGGTCGAAGCGCCCAGCCACATCAAGAAGAAGGTCGAAGGAATCTCGCTCTGCCAGTGTGTTGCTGTGATGTGTTTGCATGATGGCGCCATGGTGTTATTCTCTCACAAGAAAGCATGTGCTGTACGTTACAGTAATATATGATATTGCAGCAATATTTGCAAAGAGTAGACATATAATAATCACAGTGCATCAGTGTATGATAGTATAGTAGAGTGTAGTCATAATGATGAGTTACATTATGTTTGTTGGTCTAAGTTTACATGCTACAGTACCTTGATAAACATATTAAGAAATAGCCAGAGTATTCTACATGGGAGTTTCCGAGAATAGGGGATCCTTGTATAGTACCCTAAATAGTAGGATCCTTACTATAAGGACCCTCAGCTAAGGTACCACTAATTTTCGGAAACTCCCACATGAAGAGAAAAAGGAACGAGTCATGTTTTCGAAAAATGGGCCCAGGAGCGAAAGAGCTCATTGACCTGCGGCCCATGAACGGTGGCTTCCCCATCTTCGATCAGGCCGCAGTGTAGTGTAGGGGCTTTGAGACGTAAAATAGGGTGATGGGTAGGGGCTGTAATGGTTTAGGGTTTTGGGAATGTAGGGGCTCAAAAGAGTTTGAACAAGGCTTGCGTAGGGTGTTGAAGAGGGGTAGAATTGAATTAGCATGTGGTCTGGGGGTATATTGTAGGACGCCTCTATCGGGAGTATGAATCAGGGGCATCTCGGCAGCTGCACGGCGAACGCTTTGGCAGCAGCCTTCCACTTCACCCTCCACAAGATGACGGTGGAGAACCACAAGGACTTCGCCGACTTCACCCCAAGCCGGCTGTTCATCTACTACAACGAGCGCCTTGTGGAGGGCAGCGTGAACCAGGATGCTGGGGCGATGATCCGGGACGGCATCAAGACGATGGCCAAGGTCTCCCAGGAAGCCAAAAGGGGGTGTTGACTCATGGGGCTTTAGTAGGGATGAGGGTAACCTTCTTGGGACAATATACCAGCCCAGCCGAGGTCGGCGTTTGCCCGGAGAGCATCTGGAAGTATGACGACCAGCATGACTTCTTCAAGCAGCAGCCCAGTGACAAGGCCTACGAGCTCGCACAGAAGTGCAAGGTCGTTGGCTACGCCCGTGTGGCCCAGGACTTGAGCCAGTTCAAGATGTGCATCAGGAACGGCTACCCTTTCGTCTTCGGTTTTGCTGTCCTGACGAGCTTCCAGACAGCGGAGGTTGCCAGGACCGGCAAGATGGTGATGCCGCAGCCGACCGACCAACAGCTGGGTGGCCATGCCGTCACTGCCGTGGGCTACGACGACTTCAAGCAGTGCTTCATCGTCCGCAACTCTTGGGGAGAAGGGCGTCTTGGACCAGCATAACCGAATCATGAGTTCGGGAATGCGATGGTTTCATGTCGGCTCATATCCAATAGTAGTAACACTTATAGTAGTAAAGTAAGAACCATATCGATAATAATCATAACAGGAATTATGCTAACATTATCATGTTGTCGTTCTTGTTGTTGCCGTTGTGGTGGTTCTTTTGTTTAGTAGCTTCTGACTGGCAGGTGGGGCGACAAGGGCTACTTCTACATGCCGTACGAGTACATTTGCCACCCCGCGCTTGCCCACGACTTCTGGGCGATCAACTGGGTCGAGGGCTTCAAGAACACGACCACCCAGAACCCGGCCAAGAAGTGACTCGGAATCGCGGCCAGCATAAGCTTTTTAAGTTTAAGGGTTAGCAGTTAGCACGATCATACTCAATGCCTTGATGTACCAAAGATAAACTTTGAAAACTCTACAAGAAGCTTGACAGATAAGGTGATTGGATTCACGACGATTCTTTGTATAGTCAGATTCCTGTGTAGTCGGCTATCCCCGGAGGGGTGGCTGGCTGGACAGGACACGTGCCTGCAACTGGCAGGGATTTAAACCCAACCATGTCTACTGTACTGTACAGCCTACGAATCTCCACACGGGCTGAACATCCATTCTGCGACACATGCTTTGTGCCAAACACATGGTGCTTGTCTGTGCTATTGGGATTAAATCATCGGCATCTCTGGCCAAGGGGCCTGCAAAGAGTAGTACATCAGTCATGCACCGTCGCATCACCATCATCCTATTCATGGTTAAGCTCACAATCTCCATCGCCATTACCATGTTTTACTCGCCGTGTCGATTTTATGAACCCAGCATTACCGACGACCTCGAAGTTAACCATCAAAAGCATGTCACGGTATGCCCGGCGCCTTTTTTGCCTGTGCAAATCTGCAGAAGTGTTCGTTCATGGAGGCACCGTTTGCTTTTTTAGGGCTCGGGCTCTGATCCGGAGCCCTACCCAAACTCCTAAACTCCCGGGCCTGGTTTGAATAGAAACACGACAGTAAGTGGAGTAAGGTTCTGGGGTATTTCGGTTTTCACACTACAGCGATTACAAGGGGAGCTTATTTCTACCTCTTCTGACCCCTTGTACCCCTCCCGAACCCCGAACCACAAACCCTAATCCCGAGACCCTAAACCCTGGAGACCCGACCTTAGAGAACTGCCCCTGCAGTACCCTTATAGAAACCTTGTAGGAACCGTAACCCCTTTAAGGTAAATGATAGGGGATCCTACCATTAATCCATGTTCCAACTTTCTGGCTTGTACTTTAAACCCTAAACCTCTTATCGATCTCTTTAAGGAACTAATTCAAGCCTGTTCAAGCCTGAAGCCGTGATCAGAGCAGGTGCAATTGCAGATCAAGCCGCGCGAAGGGGGCGAGTCTATCGCCCGGGATCTCAGAGCAACGGGGGTGTCTTTCAAGGCTTCGTTTTAGGATGTTTTTGGGGACCATAAGTAGGGTATTCTGGATACGCTACGGATTAGTTAATGAGGGAGTCACGAAGTTTTCATGACAACATCGGGTTTTGATTGCGGCCTGTACGTGACGTCCTCGAGCCGCCAACCGAAAAGCCAGGGCGATAGAGACCAGATAAGCATCAGGATCTTCTGATTGCGGGTACTCAAAACCCTAACCCTGTAAGGCCCGCATTTGGCTTTCAAGCTGAGCTCCTAAGCCCTAAACCCTCAACCCTAAAGTAAGGATTCGTACGAGAATGTCCGGCTTGGGCAAAGCATCCCGAAGTGCGACAGGATTCGTAAACGAAGCTGTCAGAACACGAAAAAATTTCAACGCGTGTCCTTAGAGCCTTAGGTTTCCGTATTGCAGGTAACCCTAAGGCCCCAACGTAGTTCCTTTTTGGGGGTTCATATTTAGAATCTTATGAGGTAATCCCAAAAACGCACTACTATGGGGCCTCTGGGTAACCCTCAACACTAAACGCCCTAAAGCTTCTTTTGCACCGAAACTCAGATCTGATCTTTCAGGCCCCATGATTTACTTATTGGCTGGAAACTCGACATTTCAACTTTTGGGGTTCTTATAAGGTAGTCGGTTCTGAAAGTTACAACTTTTATTTCCCTGGGTTTTGAGCAAGTGAGAAGAGGGCTTGCTTCGCAGCTCAGGTCTTAGAGCCTTCGGTCCCGCGTCTCGCAAAGAAGCCAGGGAGTTGTGGGTGAAATCAGCTTTAAAGCTTGGGAGGTTTTAGGGTTGTAAGGTTTTAGGGTGGATGTCGGCACCTTCAAAACTGAGATAGCTCGTCAAGAGGATCCTAGTAACAGTTGGTTTGCGTGGGCGGGTGTCCTCGAAGCACAAGACTCTGAATCGTGAAAATCTCATGTCCTAAAATTACATAGAACTTGGGTACGGTCCCCACTCAGTAATAATTGAATAGTATTCATAATATGCATTCATGAACACCTGCATCTCCACAGTCTGCAATTGAAAGCTGACCTATAAGTAAACACACTAGACCCGAAACACTCAACTGCCTCAACTCGTGAACTTTGAAGTCTTACCCACCAACCGAGGCTGGATCAAGTGATGCCTTCGAGGTGCGTCTTCCTGGGATCAGGGTTTAGGTGCTACCTTAAGCCAAGAAATCCTCCTTTTTAGCGTTTCTTATTGGGGTTTGCTTATTTTGTCCGTCAAGTCAAGTATATGTTTGTGGCGATGAAGGTGTCTTTAGTGTTTGGGGATTGTTCAGGGTTTGGGCATCGTCTTTTGGATTTTTGGGTCCTAGCTAAATCGTTAAACCCTGAACTCTGAATTAAGGGGTTTCCTTAGTTGATACTATGGGGGTGCGAATGATCAGAAATACTGCTCCCTAGGGTTCCATGTAGGATGCAGTATGCATATACCGTACGATACATCCCCTTTACGAATCGATAAAGCGCATCATGCTGGTTTCAGAAGCCAGGATCTCCCATCTCCGCCCTCCACTAGGCATGCCAGGGCTTCGATCCTCGGCGGGTGTTGCACCGGCGGTCCCGTCTTGCCCTCCCAAATCACAGCCGGAAAGGCTTATAGTTTAGATATAGAGGCCTGAACGAATATCAAATTTCTCCATGCTTATACGACAATGTACAAGGCAGGATGGAGGCCCACGTAGTAGCTTAGGATGGCAAGCTGCCCTCCCGAATCGCGACACCCTGGCTCCGAAGCCCTACACACCTAAGGCCCACACCCCAGCAACTAAAGCCCGAGACCCCGCGACCCTCAAATCGAAGAACCGCTATGACTCAGGCCCTAGTACTGAAACCTTTAATTTCAGTGCCCTGATACTCCAAAGTCTACATTCCTAGACCTCAACAGCCCAAACTCTTAATCTCAGCTTGAAGCAACTTAAACCCCGATACCCCCTATACTACACTACGATACACTACCCTACCATACACTTTACTATACTATACTATACTATACTATAAGTTCTTACTATACTATACTATAAGTTTTCTATAAATACTATAATACACTTCACTACCTCGGCCCACAGGTTATGCCACAAGAGTTGGTCATTTCTCCTCATGATTCGAGGCAGATCCAGGCCGCTAACAGTGGGGATGGGGTCGGGTTTAGCCGTACATGCATGAATATGTATACATATATATATATATATATATATGAGCGACGGCTTTTATTTTTGTGTATACTACAGTACTTTGAAACGAGATACCTCCGTGCAGTATTTTTGTTGTGGGAACTAGCCCTACTAGGGGAACGAGATAAGGGCACCGCTTCAAACGAGATCAAGTATATCTAGTATTAACGATACTTGAACGAGATCGACTTTTTCTGCCAGTACTTAACATGATGAAACGAGATAGGGGCACCGCTTCGAGATAGCGTAATTAGCCCAAGCAATAAATAAACGCAGTGGCTTATATATGTATATATATATATATATGTATGTATATATATATATATATATATACGTATATGTGTGTATGTATATATACATATCTATATATATATATATGTGTGTGTGTGTTTATATACATGTATAAAGGCATAGTGTTTAGGGTTTCAGGGTTTGGGGTTTGCTTGAATCGATTTTGGCTTGGAGCGAGTTTGGTTAGGATTTTCAATGCATAGGGTTTGAGAGTTTTGTGTTTGCGGTTTTGGGGGTGTAGGGCTTACCGATTTGAAGGTCGAGGGTTTAGGGTTCACTTGTTATGAGGTCTCACAGGTTGTCGATTCATGTCGGTTGAGTCAGTTGACCCCAGCGCCGCTTGCTAGTTGAGGCGTTCTGGTTTGACAGAACACCCCGCACGTCTCCTAAGCCCTAAACGCGATCCCTAATATAAGGGCTTTAACAAATGTAATCACAAATACTATTTTGGTGGTTCCTTATCATAACTAGAGTGTAATGGGCCCCTTAAAACTCTATTCTACTTGTTAAAGCCCCTATCTTAAGCCCGAAGATGCCCTAAACGGAAATCAACGCCCTAAATCTTCGGAATTCTAAAGCTTTCATACACCGACCTGTTTACATAGGTAGACCATGTTTCTGTCTCGCTTCGTCTTTGTTTTGAGGGCTTTTCGGAGGTCTTTGTTTTGAAATGCCCGTTTTTGCGAGCTGCCTTCACGAGGGTTGGTTTCCGAAGCTCCCCTGCTCCGAGGTTTCGGGTTTAGGGTTTAGGGTTTAAGGAGAACATAGGCCATCGACAGCAGGTCTCCAATCTCTTCTTTTGTGGTTCTATAAGGGCTAATGCTTTGAAGCTGTTCGGAATCGCATTTTTGGAGGCTTTGGGTTTCATTTGAAGACGCTACTACATACTGCTTTTGGCCTGTTCTAAGGCTTCAGTGGAACACACAACATCCATAAGAGACGGCGTAACACCCTTGTAAGACCTAAATCCGACACCCTAAAGACCCTACTTAGAGGATCATGGGACTTAGTAAGTAGGTTATAACTGGGGTTATAAGTCCCCGAAGTGGGGTTATCCTAATTATAACCTACTTATAACCTTACTTACTAAGTCCCATGAGCCTTCAAGTAAAGACCCTAAGCCCTAAACCTAGCTTCCGAAAGCCTAAGAAGTCCAAAGAAACCTCAAGGTGAAGTTCACGCCCACTCATTTGGCCAGCTTTGGTGCTTTGCTGGAAGCCGTCGTGCCGCAAGGCAGGGAGTTGTTTACATGGTGTTTCATTGTCTAGGACCCAGAGTAGGCCCTTATTCCCTTTTTTAGGGTTCAGGTTCCCTTATAAGCATCTTTAAACCAAAAAGGGCATCCTTTTTATGCCTGGGTTACTCTTGGGTCTAGTTATATAGCATGGCTTCGCGGCTTGACTTGCGAACCCGAAATCGTAAACCTCACCCCTCTATATCCCTAAACCCTATGCCTATACCCTTATTCCCCATGCCTCCAAAACCAGCAAAGACCGGCGCCGAAAGCCTCAGAAGCACAGCAGGTTAGACAGGCAGCAGAAGGTTTTAC